TGTAGCTCCCAGGTGGTTCAGAGGTCATGACGAGATCTAGAAGCAATGATGTCAGGGACACAGGACCGTGGCCTGAGTCAGTCCTCTAGGCTCAGGAATAGACATACTCGATAGATGTCATTATGGTCAAGAGACCTGAAAGAACTACGGAAGGGCAAATGACAGACCTTACTCCGAATACCTGGACCGCTCCTTCTCAAACTGACCAAAACAGCATATTCAGAAAGTCAAACAAGACCTTCATGTTGAGCACTGGCCTTCGTGGCTATCAGATAACGTGGCCTTCCCTTTCTCCTCCCATTGCCCCGTCAGCTTGGGCTTATGAGACTCCGGGCAGAGCTGTGATGCAGCGTCACTGATGGAGATTGGGGACTCAGAAGCATGGCCCAGCCACAGCCAGAGGCAAGCCTGGATTTATTGGGCTTGCCACGCATTTGCTCGCTGCCCTGCACCCAGCTGTCCCCTGGCCAAGGCCTGTCATGGGAGGAAGCATGCTCAGAATGTAGAATGTGCATTCAGTTATCACGGTTAACATTACTCAGCTGACTCCCTGATGTTTTTAAGGGACCTCAGCAAAAGTCTCTGAACGCTCTACTTTCCATCTTAATGTCCTGGACATGAGATCGACAATGAAATTGGGTGAATGTCCTGATTCCCTTCAGAGTCTCCGTTGCTCAGCAAAAATGCAAGTTATGAATAAGCTCCTTGGTGGTCCACGTGCCTCCATGTGGGTGGACTCTTGTCCAGAAAGTGACTCTTAGCATCTGAGCATCCCATCTCTGCAGCCTCTAGACCTTGGGCCATTTCATGGACATTTTATGGACACGTTCCTCCCCCCGCCCCCCAATGATTAGGAAAATGCAAAGCCAAAGTGAAAGAAAACAGATCTGTTTCCCAAGTAGGAAGGGCACCATCCAGCCAAGAGGAGAAGCAGATTAATAGCTGCCTTACAGCAAAAACAAATGAACACAAAATCTAATTTACAAACCTATTAGATTTGCTATGTAAGCTGTTCACAGCCGATCTGATTGCACCTCTGCCTCCAGAATTCCTGCAAGACAAAGGAAATGCATTATTTATAAACACAGCTCTTCTTGGCAAAGCCCTCCTCAGTCCTCAGGAGATCCCACAGCCAGCCTCGGAGACCCACAGCGGGTGGACGAGACCTCCCTCTTGGCCTCTCCAAGATGGGCAACATCCCGACCCGGCCACAAACCCAAACATCTCTCAGGGACATAGGCCTCCCGGGTCCTCCCCTCCTCCCCCTGGAACATAGTTTAATCCACACCACGGTTTCCACTTAAGGCTTCCACTTGGGCCCTGAGACAAAGCCCTTTGGGACTCATTTCCCCTGCGTCACCCCACAGGCCACCACTCCTTAGCACGTCTCAGCATCTTCTCCCTGAGTCTCTGGCTTTTGCTCCCACGTGTTAAGATGTTGTCATCACATTCTCTCCACACTCAAGACACCAGAAGTTCAAACAGAGGCAGCAAGATGGCTAAGTAGTGCCTCCAACCGAATGTGATAGCAGTTTATTTTTTGGTGGCAAGAGAAATAATATTAAGTGGTGTCACTTTGTGGGGAGCAGGAGGTGGGTGACTAACGGGATCCTTTGCACATTTCTCTGGAGGATATGTTTGTGGAGTAAAAGCACCCCGAGGCCTTTTCCAGCCCAGCCATCCATTCACTTCTGTTGGATTCCACTCCGGACCTGGGCTCTCAGGCCATGAAGTCTCGCGCTGCTTTGCTATCATGCGGGGCCAGGCGATGGGTGAACCCATCTTACCCTGGTACCTTGCCCACACCATGCCCTGTGCACTGGTTTTAAAAAGTCGTATGTGAGGCTAATTATGTCAAATTGTGTGTTTTTTCTTACTCATTCTAGAATGTGTGGTTTGAGGACATATTTCTTCGTACTTTTCTCGCTGTTACTATTTTTTTTTTTAAGTTCAATCTAGCCTTTCAGTCAAGGTGTCGGTGCACTCCAAAGAAAAAATTGAAGTCACTGGGAAAGCTGCATATTTTAACGTTTACCGTGGAACAGCCAAGTTAAAAACGGGGGTCCAAACCCAGTGCTCAATTTTGCTTTTTGCAGGGAGAAAAGACATTCACTGGGGGGTGCATATTGTCTGTGCGCTTTCTCCCCAGACAGCTCCGTTCCTCAGCATTCCTGACTGGTATCGCTTGTCTTGGGTTCAAATATATGTAACGTTAGCAGAGAATAAAAGAGTCAAGAGTTAGCGGCCAAGGCCTAGCATCCAGGCTTCAGGGAAGCCTATGAGAGGAACGGGAGACTGGACCCTGTGGCATGTTTGCTGCTTTCGTGAAAGGAAGGAGAGGGTGCAGTGGGAAGGTTTCCCAGGCTGTGTGACTGTGGGAAAATCACTTCGCCTCTCTGAGCCTTAGAGTTCCCATTTATAGGAAGAGGGTGTAGAAGCGGAAGACGCCAGCGCTAAGGCTCTGGAATTCTATAAGGACCACCCAGGGCCCATACCCATCATCGGCTGCCGTCTCACGAGGCTCCAGTGGGAGCTGCTTGTGGCTGGGTTTCTGTAGCGCTGTCACTTCTGTGTGGGCCACAGGTGGGAGCAGTGACCCCTAGGGCCACTGATTTAGCTTCCCTACCCCACGCCCCCAAGCTTCGCCGCAGCTCACATCAGTAGGTGTATGTGATAGAAACACGAAGAGGCCAGCTGATAGTCTCATCAGTAACCAGGGACTCTTGTGGTTTAATTTAGATTCAATCTTGGGTGCTGCTCCGCAGAAAGGAGCATATTGGGTGCCCCGGGCTCTCTCAGCCATGAAGGATTGGCAGGGGTGTTGTGACAAGGATGCTTGCAGTGGAGACGTGCTCAGAAACCCGCGGAAAGGGCTTCCGGGCTTGTCTGTGATGAAGGTTAGGGACCCAGGGGATGAAGGCAGGGAAAAGAAAGAGTTAAACGTTGGTATGGGCAGCGGTAAAATTCCATTTGTCTCTACTTCCTAGAGAAAACTTGGATGGGGCCCTGCCTAACCAGCCATGGTCTTACTGAACTTGAACCCTGGCTCTGTCGCTGTCTCTCTGGGTACTGGGGGAAGTCACTTTGAGTCCCTGGCTTCTGTCTTATCTGTAAAATCAAGGGACAGATGAGATAACCCCACGGACCGCCTCTGCTCACTGGCTGTCCATGCCCTGTGTCGCACAGACACGGCTGGATGAATGAATGGAGAGTCCTCTCCAGTGACTGTGACCTCCTGTCCTCAGCACCCCGTCCAGCCCAGTGACACTGGAGTCTCATGTCAGGCTTACGTTTCTCTGTCTTCTGATGCCATGAGTGTGCATCCACAGTGATAGGAATAAGTCTCAACTGAGTCCCTTTAACACATCAGGCCGGGATAGAACCTTCTATTTAGAGAGCCTCATTCTTGAAACACCCCTGGAAAAAGATGTGTTATTATTCTAACTGAGTGAGGACACTGGGGCTCAGAGGCGTGAAATCACATGTCCAAGGTCGCAGCTAACAGGCCCGGGACTGCATCTAGGTCTGCCTGGCTCCCAAGAGCCTCCACCCCCACCCCACGTGACCACAGAGCATGATGGGGGTGGGGTCCTGCTTCAGGGGCAGGACCTTCTTTCTGAAGAAGAAGGCATCTTTCCACAGTGGGAGAGAGACACATAGTTTATCTACATTTCACCAGGCACAGCATAAGCGTCATCTGTAGCTCCCAGGTGGTTCAGAGATCTGGAAGCAATGATGTCAGGGACACAGAGGACCGTGGCCTGAGTCAGTCTTCTAGGCTCAGGAATAGACATACTGGACAGATGTCATTATGGTCAAGAAGCCTGAAAAAACTACGGAAGGGCAGTAAGCGTCATCTGTAGCTCCCAGGTGGTTCAGAGGTCATGACGAGATCTAGAAGCAATGATGTCAGGGACACAGGACCGTGGCCTGAGTCAGTCCTCTAGGCTCAGGAATAGACATACTCGATAGATGTCATTATGGTCAAGAGACCTGAAAGAACTACGGAAGGGCAAATGACAGACCTTACTCCGAATACCTGGACCGCTCCTTCTCAAACTGACCAAAACAGCATATTCAGAAAGTCAAACAAGACCTTCATGTTGAGCACTGGCCTTCGTGGCTATCAGATAACGTGGCCTTCCCTTTCTCCTCCCATTGCCCCGTCAGCTTGGGCTTATGAGACTCCGGGCAGAGCTGTATGCAGCGTCCACTGATGGAGATTGGGGACTCAGAAGCATGGCCCAGCCACAGCCAGAGGCAAGCCTGGATCTATTGGGCTTGCCACGCATTTGCTCGCTGCCCTGCACCCAGCTGTCCCCTGGCCAAGGCCTGTCATGGGAGGAAGCATGCTCAGAATGTAGAATGTGCATTCAGTTATCACGGTTAACATTACTCAGCTGACTCCCTGATGTTTTTAAGGGACCTCAGCAAAAGTCTCTGAACGCTCTACTTTCCATCTTAATGTCCTGGACATGAGATCGACAATGAAATTGGGTGAATGTCCTGATTCCCTTCAGAGTCTCCGTTGCTCAGCAAAAATGCAAGTTATGAATAAGCTCCTTGGTGGTCCACGTGCCTCCATGTGGGTGGACTCTTGTCCAGAAAGTGACTCTTAGCATCTGAGCATCCCATCTCTGCAGCCTCTAGACCTTGGGCCATTTCATGGACATTTTATGGACACGTTCCTCCCCCCGCCCCCCAATGATTAGGAAAATGCAAAGCCAAAGTGAAAGAAAACAGATCTGTTTCCCAAGTAGGAAGGGCACCATCCAGCCAAGAGGAGAAGCAGATTAATAGCTGCCTTACAGCAAAAACAAATGAACACAAAATCTAATTTACAAACCTATTAGATTTGCTATGTAAGCTGTTCACAGCCGATCTGATTGCACCTCTGCCTCCAGAATTCCTGCAAGACAAAGGAAATGCATTATTTATAAACACAGCTCTTCTTGGCAAAGCCCTCCTCAGTCCTCAGGAGATCCCCCAGCCAGCCTCGGAGACCCACAGCGGGTGGACGAGACCTCCCTCTTGGCCTCTCCAAGATGGGCAACATCCCGACCCGGCCACAAACCCAAACATCTCTCAGGGACATAGGCCTCCCGGGTCCTCCCCTCCTCCCCCTGGAACATAGTTTAATCCACACCACGGTTTCCACTTAAGGCTTCCACTTGGGCCCTGAGACAAAGCCCTTTGGGACTCATTTCCCCTGCGTCACCCCACAGGCCACCACTCCTTAGCACGTCTCAGCATCTTCTCCCTGAGTCTCTGGCTTTTGCTCCCACGTGTTAAGATGTTGTTATCACATTCTCTCCACACTCAAGACACCAGAAGTTCAAACAGAGGCAGCAAGATGGCTAAGTAGTGCCTCCAACCGAATGTGATAGCAGTTTATTTTTTGGTGGCAAGAGAAATAATATTAAGTGGTGTCACTTTGTGGGGAGCAGGAGGTGGGTGACTAATGGGGTCCTTTGCACATTTCTCTGGAGGATATGTTTGTGGAGTAAAAGCACCCCGAGGCCTTTTCCAGCCCAGCCATCCATTCACTTCTGTTGGATTCCACTCCGGACCTGGGCTCTCAGGCCATGAAGTCTCGCGCTGCTTTGCTATCATGCGGGGCCAGGCGATGGGTGAACCCATCTTACCCTGGTACCTTGCCCACACCATGCCCTGTGCACTGGTTTTAAAAAGTCGTATGTGAGGCTAATTATGTCAAATTGTGTGTTTTTTCTTACTCATTCTAGAATGTGTGGTTTGAGGACATATTTCTTCGTACTTTTCTCGCTGTTACTATTTTTTTTTTAAGTTCAATCTAGCCTTTCAGTTAAGGTGTCGGTGCACTCCAAAGAAAAAATTGAAGTCACTGGGAAAGCTGCGTATTTTAAGGAATAATGTGATTTAATGAGAACACTCTGGGGGAGGTTGATGCCTATCTTCACAGTGGTCTTAAGTTTGGATTTTTCTATCGGCTTTCATTAGGCTTCTCATACTTGAGGAATAATGTGATTTAATGAGAACACTCTGGGGAGGTTGATGCCTATCTCCACAGTGGTCTTAAGTTTGGATTTTTCTATCGCATTTCTTTAGGCTTCACATACTTGTAGTTATCGTGTGTGTGTGTGTGTGTGTGTGTGTGTGTATAAACACACATACTGCCTTTTCCTGATAGACTTACATGTCTTTTTAAACTATTTGGCAACAGGCAATGTTCTCCCAGTTCACAGCCAGATGACCGGACAACAGAAAGGATGCTGTGACTCGTGTCTCAAATTTGTCACTCCCAAGTCTAGTTCTTAATTACACAGAGTAGCGTTGGCTCTTCACACTTTAAGTCTATTCCTAGTATTTCTTTTTTGTCCCCCCTGGTTCCCCTGGGGACAATGGAGCTCTTGACTTCTAACTTGGGGTCTAGGACTATCTGGCCAGTTCTGGCTCCATAATCATAAATCCACTCATGTCAGACCCGGGGCTCCCTGGGCCAGAGAGGACTCATTGTGACCGTGAACATCAGAGCAGCTGTAGCTTTAAAGGCAGCGAGTGCTACTTCTAGCGTGGTGCTCGCACCAAAGTTAGATGTAGTCCCAGCGCCACCCCTGCCTCTCACCAATGTGTTCATCTCCTCCAGCTCCACCCACTCAACTAACTTCTTGCTCATCAGGTCAGGCCTAGTATCTCTATCCCTGTGCCTAGCTGTCTCCGAGACACCTTTTCCTACAGAGCAAGTCTTATCAGTGTACCAAAGCTCTTGAACTTCATAGACATTGAAACAATGCTGGGCACAGAGCTCTGAAGAGACCAGTGTAGGTTGCAGCCTTGACAATGGTGTTTCCATGACAACCGGGCTTCCATGGATGCTTCCATAGGTGCCAACGGGGAGGGTGAGGTCAGCATCTCATGGCCATCTCTCTTCTGCCACTGCACACCCCCTATTGGCTGCTCAGCTCCTTGCTCTACCAGCCTCGCTTCCTTCCTGTTAAATATTAGCTTGATGTGATTTAGCCATTTGCTTTGATTTCAGCAAACTTGTGCTTATCAGTCAGCTTCTGTCATAGTACAAAAAGGTGCCGGTTCACTCTGGGTTCTCCCCTCCGCTCAACTTCAGGAAACACCCGTGAGAACTTAGGGCTTTGGTCAGGTTCCAGCCAACTGCGCTTGTCTTTCTATAAAAGTACTCATAGGCAACTGCACCTCAAAATGCAAGAAAACAGGTCACTTGGATGCCCAACATTCCCCACCATGCTTATTCCTGATCCTTCCTCACCATGAAACTGTCACCTGTAACCAGGGGGACCCAATAATTTACCACCCAAACCAGAACGCCTGCGGACTAAACGGAGGCACCTGGGTCTGACCTCAGGGTGGCCCTGCACAGAACTTCTCCTCGGGAGGAAATATATCACGCAAGATTTGCAATTCAATTCAATTGCAAATCTTGCGTGAATTTTGGGACACCCTATACTAGGTTGAGGCGTGATGAATGACTCCAAGGGATGGGTTAGCGTCCTCAGGGCGTCTTTAATATTCCTCTGGCTCAGAAAAGCCATTATTTTAAATCATCGCCTCTCAAC